ACATTAAAAATAGTGACTAAAAAAAAAAAGTGACTAAACTATTGTATATTTTCCAAGCTCTAGGACCATTCTGGTTCATGTTTTATTAATAATTATATTCAAAGTTTTGTGTGTATATGTATACATGTCTATATATATATGTATAAATGTAAATATACTTGCACACATATAGACATGTATGACTTTTTCAAAATTTGTGGGTGTAACTCTTGTTAGTATAAAAATTTTGATTATAAACTAAGCTTTGTATGTAGCAAATATTATATTTGAAGCCAAAGAACTGTTTTAGTTTGGTTCCTCATAATTTATCTATTAAAGTCACTTTGTAATGACTTATAAAATAATTTATTTCAGCCAAAGATATGTTTGGGATTAGAAAAAAGTTTGAGCTGAATGAATAATGGCTTTTGGAAGATTTCCCTTAAGCTGATGAAAAGGAGGAATTTGAAAGCTGTCAATCTTCTTGTTTAAATAAACAAACAAAACCCAAAGAAATCTATCAAATTCGAAGAATAATGGCTCAATAATTTTTTGTAATTTATATAAAAATTTATAACAGAGACCTGTTGTGCACACTGATGCCCTTTGGCCTTATATAATAATCTTTAAGCAGGTGCTACAGTCCGAATGTTTTGTCCTCCCAAAACTTATATGTTGAACTATAACCCCCAATGTAATAGTATTAAGATCTGGAGCAATTAGGAGGTGATTAGATTACATAATTACAAAGGATTAGAATCCTTATGAAAAAGGCCCATGGGATTGTCCTCTCCCTTCTGCCATATGAAGATGCTTAGAAGACACTATCTATGAGGAACAGGCCCTGACCCAATACCTAACCTACAATGTCTGGATTGTGGGCTTCCCAGCCTCTAAAACTGTTAGCAATACATTTTTGTTGTTTATAAGTTATCTGGCGTAAGATATTTTGTTATAGTAGCTGTAACAGACTAAGATACTAGGTTACCATACCTCTAAAAGGACATATTGACCAGATAATTAAAAAGGCTAATTCTTTGTGTGACACACATAGAGCCAGGTTGGTTTTCTCTCTGGCAGAGTCTTTCTTCCTCTTAGTGGGGAAACCATTCTATTTCTGTGTGAGTAAACAACATGCATCTCCAAGCTCTTATCTGTAGAAGTCTTGATTATCACTTGTCATGTGTTAATATTTAAACAAGTGTGATTCTTTCCACTTACTTAGGTCCTTTGGCATGTTGTTTCTCCCTTTTAGGCAGGCAAGGGAGGAAAATTGTAAATTTAAATTGTTGAGTGCAACCTCCGTCTCTGGATGCTTGTCCAGGAGGGTTTGCCTGTTAGCATCATGTTGGGATCCTTAAGGCAGCAAATCTGAATGTGGCTTTCAAATAAGAACGCTGGTCTGTGGGCAGAGCAGGTGGTGGCTTTGTCTGGATCTGCTGTGGTTTGAGTTGTTCCCAAAAGTTCATGTGTTGGAAACTTATTCCCAAGTGTAATAATGTTGGGAGGTAGGGCATAAGAAGCAATTAGGTCATGAAGGCTCTGTTATTCATTAATTAATGCCTTTGTTGTTGGTAATGTAAAATAGCGCAGCTACTTTGAAAGACAGGTTGATAGCTTTCTTTTCAAAATTAAATATACTATTCTACCCCAAGGAAATTCTACCCCAAGGAAACTACTTTATAGAAATAGAAACATACATCCATACCGAGACTTGTATGTCAACGTTCATAATAGCTTTATTCATAATGCCCCTAATGTGACAACAACTCAAATAAATGTCCATCAAGTGGTGAAGTGGATATATGAAACAATTTATTCAAGCAGTATAGTACTATTGAGCAATAAAACAAAGAAAAAAATACCGGTAGATTCTACAACACAATACAGACCACAAAAACATTATGTTAAGTGAAAGAAGACAGATGCAAACCCCACATATTATATGGTTTATTTATAGGAAATGTCCAGGTAAATCTATATAGTAGTTCAGGCCTGGTGTTGGGCATGGGAATAGGGAGAAACTGCAAGTGGGTACTAGGGATCTTTTGGGGGGGTGATAGAAATGTTCTAAAAGTGCACTGGGGCAAAGGTTATACAACTTTGTAAACTTAGTAAAAATCATGGAATTATCCCCCTGAAGTGGGTAAATTTCATGGCATGTAAATTGTTTCTGATTGTTATTTTGAGATAGGGTCTTGCTATGTAGGCCAGACTGGCTTTGAACAGGCTTACCTCAAATCTGTAATCCTCTTGCTTTAGCTTTTGCTGTTCTGGGATTGCAGGCATGCACCACCACACCAAATTATTAAATTATTTTATGAAATTGTTAGTCATTAAATGAATTTAACTTATGGGTAGTGGATAGAATATAGTCCTCAAAATGACAGTATACTTTGAGGACATATTCAATCTTCTGGACTCAGACCTAATGCCTCAGAGGGCAAGGATGACAAGTGGTTACAGCTAGCATGTGCTCTCCGTGCTTACTATGTTCAAACTCTGCTGTGTACATAACTTCCTTTTATCCACATAAGAATCCTCTGACAAGGTTAGTGAAATAAGCCTAAGAAGAGAAGGAAATGGAAACTTTATTAAGGTCACAGGACCAAAGCATGCAGAATCTTATACCCAACAAATCTGAACTGTCTGAATGTATTGAGAACCTTAAAGCCCTAAAATCTAGTCTGGTCCTGGGGTCAGCTGGGTAGCTCTCAAAATCTCCTTGGTTCTATGCTCTGCTTGAAACCTTGCTAAACTGGCTCTTAGACTGCATTCTCTGCAATATGGTTTCTGTGGAAAAACGTGTTTGGTGCCTTTCCTTTAGTTTCCTTCCATGATAACAGCTGGCAGAACTTTTCTATGGAGTTCCTTTGGCTTGTGGAGGGCAGCCAGGTAGGAGAGGCCAGTGGAGACTGGATGAGCAGCAGACAAGCCTCACTCCTTCCTCCTGTTAATGTCCAGCTAGAGTTGCTGGCTGTTTATCTTGATTATACATATGATGGACTTCAGCAAATGATTCCTTCTAAACACTGACTTCTGCTGTGAAGCAGAAAGTAATAAAAACCATTGTTTTTTTAGAAAATTCGTATTAAGTAGAATGCTGATGTAGTAACTTAAAACAAATTTACATATGAACTTGATGTAATTATCCATAGGGCAAAATCAGCACTGGTCCTGGACACACTTCACATTCATGTTTTCTTGGCTCTGCTAAGTTTGAAGAATGCTGTAGTCTAAGTCTTTATTTCATCAAACAATTTTCACCCATGCCTTTACCCTGCAGAGACTAAATGGCACTTAATATTATATATGTATATATGAATGTTTATTTATAGTTTTCATGTTTTCTGTTTTCACTAGGAATATAAAGTTTTAAGAATTTTTTATTGGGTGTCTTTTTTCCTAAATGAACTTCTTCTTCCCATCTTCTAAAGATATTATGGAAAAATATTTTATTTTCTTTATGTCCAGGCTAGAAATTACTAAATAATTTAAAAGTACCATAAATCCTATTATTTTCCTCACTTGAGGTATTCATAGATATTCTAAGGGCTGTGTACACCTCCAATGATTTGTCATCCTATGGATATAGCTTTGCCCACCTCTGCTTGCTTATAAGAAGTGACACTGGGAAGTAATGAGAGCTAGAGCCAGGAATCAGAAGCCAAGATTTCCTTTCTGGCTCTCATACTTACCATGATTCTGGGTACACTTCTTAAAAGCTTTGGCTCCCAAGGACAATAATCCTAGCCTTACTGACTTCACAGGGATGTCTTAAGTTTAAATGAAAAATGCTATGTGAGGTTATAGACTGAATATTTGTATATCCTCAAATTCATATACTGAAACCCTAACCTTTACTGTGATGTATTAGGCAGTGGGGTCTGTAGGAAGAGATGAAAGTGGAGTCTCCATGAATATAATGGATTAGTGACCTTATATGTACAGACATGGGATAGATTTTTTTTTTTCTCATTAATCCCTGTTCTCCACCAGGAACTGGGTCCTCACCAGACACCAGATCAACTGGTGCCTTAATTTTGGACTTTCCTTCCTTTAGAACTGTGAGATATATTTATGTCATAGCAGCCTAAACTAAGACAGAAGACCTTTTGTAAAGTACTATAAAATTATACACGGTCATGTCACCTAAAGTGAATAATGCTCTTCATTTTTCACAGAAAAATGAGATTTGTTTTCTAAGGACATTTCGTCCTTTTCAATATGTTAACGTTGTTTCTTTTAAAAAGAAAAAATACTATAAAAGCTGTAGGATTTACCTTGAATTTTTAATAGTCTCTATATGTACAGTGGTACCTAGGCTTCTGAATGCTTTTGATTGCAAACAATTTGGTTCGCAAAGAAAAGTGTTTGGCAAAAATTTATTTTTTGTTTGCAAACTCTGTATCAGGTGACAAACAGGACCATGGCCACCTTTCCTGCAGAAACACAAGTGTGGCCATCTTTTCTGAAACTGTGGAACAAATTAAGTTTGTGAACCAAGGTACCACTGTAGTTGGTATAGACAGATACAGGTGTGTATATATATATGTATATATATATATATATATGTATCACATATTAAAAGAAAGAATAGAATACTGAATTATCATTATTGTGTGTTTGTAACTTGAATTTTGTTGTTCACTATCATGTTACTATTGTTCTATACAAACTAGGCACTTATGTTTAAGTCCATTGAATTCTGAATTCCTTTATTATATTAAAAACAGAGGTAATTACAACGGAGAATGTAGCAATAAAAATGCTTTGTATTTGATTTATCTTGTTCAGGTCCATGAAATAATTATTATTAACAGGAAAGCATTAATCTCTGACATATATATTTTAAGTATGTACATTACAAAGTACATGTCCTTTGTGGTTTTATAACAGAGGTATTGCAAAAGTGAATGTAAGAACAGCAGAGCTATATCATTTTTTTAACAAAAGAAATTTTACATAGCTCAAAATATTGAAATATTTTTCATTTTAAAAAATCCTTGAGTTTCCAAACCTAATACAACTGAACTAAACTTGATTCATTTATATTAGGAATATAGCACTTCCCTTTCCCTGATTTTGTATTGTTGCAGAGGAAATGGGTTTTTAGTATACATGATTCAAGTGGGAAAATTGCATTTTTTAATTCCACACTATTCCTTAGACTGGAAAAAAATCTTTTGGAGTAGTCATGTTTATTTCACAGTAACTCTAGAACAGAAAAATGTAGAATGTTAGTGTAGAAATACAAATAGCTTTATCAAACAAAATACTATTTTCGAAAGCTGCCTTACAGAAATTATTTACTCAAGACAAAAAAATCCTCAGTTTCATTAATCAGCTTTGTAAATATTTTGCCAGGGCTTTTTTTTGGGGGGGGGTCAAAAAGTTTAAAAGCTCATATACGTTTATTTGGTTTTAGTTTGGTGTATTTATTAAGGGTAAATTCTGTATGCCTTTGCAGTTCATCAATATGTGTGTTTAGAAGCTGTTCGAGTTCTTTTGTTCGCTTCTCTTCTTCCAGTAAGAAATGCTGTGCAGTGAAAGAAGCTGGGAAGGATATATCTGGGGGAGGCTAAAGAGAGAAAGAAAGAAAAATGAGACGAAGAATACAGAGCCTTTTTAAATCTTCATATTTCCAGGCATGCTTCATCTCTGACATATTGTCAAACACTGCAGCTGTTAATGAAATAATACATCTTGAGCTGAACTCCTTCCACCAGTGTAATGAAGTTACCGCTAATGAAATCCTCAAGGAGCTAAGACGTCACAGGACCATTACATTAAAAAGCCCTAGAAGTGAATATTATAATATCCAACTGCAAATGTAGGGACAAGGTAACCACCAGGGAATCTTCCTAAAACATGCTCTACTAATTTGCAAAGCGAGTGATTCTCATCTGGAAACAGGCAACTCCAAAGCTAAAGTAAGGATTACGGCAGAATTGGGTAAATTGTACACACACACACACACACACACACACACACACACACACACACACATGAATGGTTGCCCTAACAAGGGGGATAATTGATACTTGGACCTAGTTAGGTGCATAATGCTGGGATCTCTCTTATTGGGAAAATCTGAATGATGAGTACCCCAATTTCACCCATCTTGGAAATGCTATTTAATTGTTTGTGACTTGTTGAATGCTTATTTACAGAAAAAGAAAAAATAAAATATCTGGCCATGGAATAAAAAACAATATTAGATAATTTTACAGTCCTCAATTAAAAAAATTTAAAACTTAAACTTTAAAAAATTGGAGAAATTTTTAATTTTCTAGTTGTGTACTCCCTTTATTCTTTTATAATTTATATTAGGAACAACGGGACTGAACCTTGCTCTAAGAAGATTAAATTTTCCTGTTTGGGCTCTACCAAAACTAGAAATAATGGCAGATTATAGTGGAGTACTACAAATTTATCAAAGTAGCAGTCCAGTTATAGCTTCTGTGCTAGGTAAAGCATCTTTATGAGGGTAGAATGTCAAGACATGGGTATATGGTATGCTTCTGTTGATCTGGCAAATGCATTATTTCTAATGTCAACACCAATAGAAACGATTAGAAACAGTCAGCATTCACATGGGATAGACAACAGTGTAGATCCATGGGCTTGCCCCCACCTTGTGTTAACGATATTGTCACAGTAAATTCTGGAAGGGCCTAGACCACATGGATAGTCCAAAGACTATCACATAGAACATTATATATTTATTGTAACATAAGTTAATAAGGCTTGATGAGCAGGAAGTAGCAAGTATGACAAAAGCTTGGAAAATATATGTGCTCCAGAGATTCAAGGGATTGACATATTGTTTTTAGTGGTATGGGACATGTCAGGACATCTATATAAATTAGAAATGAATACATCTTGAAAATATTCCACTCTTGGGTGGCATAATCTGACCCACTTATTGGGTGACATAGAAGCAAGCCTAGAACACTAAAGGGCTCCATAATGGCTCCAGGATAAGGTACAACAACCTTGTTATTTGGCTCAAATGACTTGGTAGATCCTATGTTAGAAGAATATCTGATAGAGAAAAATGCCTTCTGGAACACTTTAGAAGTCTCAGTGGAAAAGGTATATTGCAGGCAGGATTCTGGAACAAGGTATGCCATCAGTAACAGAAACAGAAACCCATATACTATTTGCAAAATAGTTGCTGCCATGCTGTTGAGTTATGGGTGAGATAGACACTCTAGCAAGTGGATGGCTTGAAATGATCCATTTTCTGTCATTGGCTACCTAGTGGAAATTAGGAAACATCAGCATTTCCCTGTCACCAACAGTAGTAACTACTGTTGCTACTGAATGTTTGACCTGCTCACATCAGAAAATATAGCTAAGCTCCTGAGATACACCATCCCTCAAAGAGACCAACCAGCCTCTTGGTGGCAATCCGATTACATCAGATGTAATCAGGTGCCTTATACCTTAGAAAGGATAATGTTTTATCCTTACCAGAACTGACATGCATTCTATGGATTTGCCTTTCCTGTCCACTGAAAAGGCAAACTATCCAATAGCTCAGAGTGACGGACATGCTGACATGGGAACCAGCTTTACAGCAGACTAATGATTCTGAAACCCTAAGATCATCAGATATTAGAATAATAGAATAGTTAGCACCTTATCCTTTTCCTCCCTATGGCTTGGCTGGAATATATGCTTGCTTTTACTCTGTAAAGATCAAAGTCTTGTTGGTGCAGAAACTAGTCTCCATAGAGATTCTCGTAACTTTTAAATAAGGCAGTTCATTTTACTTATTTTACTTGTGTGGAATTTTATTCTATTTAGAAAATGTTGGCATTTTATGTTGAAATGAAGAAAAAATGAGTGTTTGGGGGCTTTAGAAATCCTTAAACTTTCAAACATTCATGGTTTAAGGCTTTCTTTTTCTACCAGAATAGTTTAAATCTTAATTTCAGCCTTTGCCAATACAAGGTGACAGATTCCAGAAAAGTGGAAAAGTAATCATAGTACACTCTGATCCATTAAAAAGTTCTATTGTGTATTTATTTATAATTTGTATCCCATATTAGTATATCATGAAATGGGACTGAAAAATTACATAATATACTTTGAATACAAGGGAAAGATAATTGCTAAAAGTACTACTACTTTTCTTTCTGAGATGAAAAACTGTACCTTTTTTTAAAAAGCTGTGGTTTTTTATGTTCATACATCACAAAGTAGAAAATTTCAGCAGAATAATGGAAACCATAAAAAGGAATCAAATGAAAATTCAAGAACTGAAAAATACCCTTCCCACCTGCTTTATGAGGTTAACCTAATCTGATACCAATACCTGACAAAGATACTAAAGGAAAATTATAGGCCGATTTATCTTGTGAGCATCACATAAAAATTCTAAACCAAATATTTATAGACAAAATCCAGTGATCTAATTATGTTTATTCTAAGAATGCAAAATTGGATTAATCTATAATCAAGAAAAATTATCACATTAATAGAGCAAAGGAGAAAAATTATATGGTTATTTTAATAGAGGCAAAAAAGTATTTGATAAAATCCCATATCTATTCATGAAAAAATTAGCAACCTAGGAATAAAATAAAATTCCCTAATCTTCTAAAAGGAATCTACCAAATATCCACAGGTATGTGTGTTATTTATATACAATGGAATACTACAGAGAAACAGAAACCAATAAACTATAGCTAAGGATACTGGATTTAATCCCCAATACCACAAAATAAAACAAAACCCAATATGGATGATGATGAACCTCAGAAACAATATTGAGCAAAAGAATCCAGACTCAAATGAATACATACATTATAATACAATTTACATAAAATTCACAAATGGACAAAATTAATTAATGACTTTAACAGTCAGCATAGTGGTTACCTTAGGAGCAAGTAGAAGAGAGTGGGAAGGTAAAAGAGAGGGGCTTCTGAGGAATGGTAATGTTCTGTTACCTTATTGATAGTAACATGGATGTGTCCCATTTGTGATGATTCACCAAGCTGTCCATTTATGATTTGCACACGTTTCTGTATGTATGTTGGAGACTATAAAAATGATGCTTTTAAACAGGAACAAAAGATCACTTGTAGCTCTTTAAAATACACAGATCCTTGAGGGTGCCTGGAATATCCAGGAATGAGTCCCAAATACTTGCATTTTAAAAAAGCATCACCAGTAATTCTGCCCTGCAGTGGAGGTTAACAACCATTGGCTAAAATACTTCATGACATGTTTGGGTCTCTTTACTTTCTATAGATAGGTATGGTCAATAGGACTCATCTTGGAGTCCTGTTGAAGCGGTGGCACTGTGAAACTACCATTAGTATATTGGTATCAGTGTAAAAGTAATCACCCTTTAAGAAAAAAACAGAGGTTAGACAGAACCCTTGAAGACATCGGTGTAGGAAAAGATTTTATTAACAAAACCCCAGTTGCCCATGAACTAGCACAAACAATCAACAAGTGGGATCTCTTCTTATTAAAAGGCTTCTGCACAGCAAGAGAAACCACCAGCAGTGGGAAGAGACAACCCACAATGTGGGAAAAAATCTTCACCTGCTCTTCCTCAGACAAAGGTCTACTACCATGAATCTATAAAAAACTTAAAAAGATCAGACCTCCCAAATTTAAAGACCCAATCCGAAAATGGGCATCTGAAATGAACAGACATTTCTCAGACAAAGAAGTAGAAATAACAAATACATGAAAAAGTGTTCAACATCACTGGTCATTCGAGAGATGCAAATGAAAACAATGCTGAGATTCCACTTCACTCCAGAAAGAATGGCTGCTATCAAGAAATCAACCAATAACAAATGCTGGCTGGGCTGTGGGGAAAGAGGAACCCTGCTCCACTGCTGGTGGGAGTGTAGACTGGTGCAACCACTGTGGAAATCAGTATGGAGATACCTCAAAAAACTAGGACTGGAAGTCCCATTTGACCCCACTATTCCACTGCTGGGGATCTTCCCCAAAGAATTAAAAGAATCATACCACAGTGATGTATGTGCGCCCATGTTCATAGCAGCACAGTATGTAATAGCTAAAACTTGGAAACAGCCCAAATGCCCATCAACTGGAGACTGGATAAAGAAAATGTGGTTTTTTAATAAAATGGAGTACTACTCAGCCATAAAAAATGAGAAATTAGAGACATTTATAGCTAAGTGGATGCACATTGAGGCAATACTCTTAAGTGAAATAAATAGGACACACATGTGTCAATACCGAATAGTTTCTCTGGTGTGAGAAACTGAAAGTGTAAATAAGGACTAAATGTATAAGAGGTAATGTGAAATAGGAAGAAAAGGGGCAAAGGGGAAGGAAGTGGGAGGGGTAGGGGAAAGGATAGAAGGGAATGGGATTAATATGAGAAAATGGAAAAATAGGAACAAAATCTTTGTAAATAGGGAGGACTGGAAGGGTTGAAGGGAGGGCTGGGCAAGGGTGAAAAATAAGAACCAAGAGAGACTATGTAAAGGTGCAAATTTCCAATGATGAATGTCATTATATTGTATACCTAAAATGTACCATTGATTAGAATGAATAATGGATAACACAAAATAGGAAGAAAAGGTCCAAAGGGGTAGGGGTAGTGGGAGGGGCAGGGGAAAGGAAAGAAGGGAAAGGAAAAATGATGAGAAATGGAAAGAATGGAAATAAAGTCTTTGTAAATAGGGACGGGTGGAGAGGGTGAAGGGAGGGCTAGGAATGGGGAAAAAATAAGAACCAAGATGCATTATGTAAAGGTGCAATTCCCAATGAGAAATGTAATTGTGTTGTATACCTACAATGTACCAATAAAATAATTTAATTAAAAAGAAAAAAGAAAAAAACAATCCAGCAGTCCAGCAACTCACCAGTGGGAATACTTCATCATCACTAATGAATGGACTTGTTATTTCTTTAGTTTGGAATGTCAAAGATGGCAATGGCGGTGTTGCGCTTCTATTTGCGTCACTATCTTGGCCAAGTCTAAAAGAGAAGGAATGGTTGTCATTATTTTTACCAAGGATATATGTTTGTTTATATAGCTAGGGATTTTGATTTCTCTGATGTCTAAGTGGGGAAATCAACAAAATGTTTGGGTTTGTTGTCTGGTTATTTCTTTGAATATGATTTTCCTGAATAATTTCTACTTTACTTGAAAGACCTAGAATAACTTAAAATGAAGCAGTAATTTTTAAATATTATGCTATTTTAATTGCCTATATTGCTCCCCTTTCTGTCTTAAACTTTTTTTAAAAAAATCTCTTGGCTGTTTATATAACTGAAGCTACTTTGAGAAAAATCTCAAAACAGTTAACATGCCTGCTAGTCTAAATAGATACAGGTCTAAATATTCTCTTAAAATTCTCTATTACATTTAAACTCACTGGCTTTCTTAACAGAATTATACTTTTTTAATGCTAATCAAGGCTTTGTATAATAATTCTAATTTCTATAGGGCATAAGAATTTACAGCATGTTTTCAATTTATATCATTTCCTAAACATCTCCACTTGTAAGTTGTGTGATATTGAGGACTTGACTTGATCTCTCTGTCACTTAAATTTTCTCACATGAAAAAACTGTTTTAAGAGTTGAGTGGTTAGTATGTGTAAAACACTTCAGCATAATACCTAGCACAAACACTAACTAAGGATTACATGTTATTATTTTTAAACTCATTTGATCTTTAAAATAACCATAACATATGGGTACTATCTACAGATGAGGAAACTGAGACTTGAAAGTTAGATTATATAATCTATTCATTTACTTTTAAATTAGAATAAACTGCCAAGAAGCAATGATTTTGGATTCTGGACTTAAATCCAGGTTGTTCTTTTTTTTTCCTAAAAACTGGATGAAAGTCACAGTGTATAATTTGTTTGTGTTAAAATATAGAGTAGAAGAGATGACTGAAAAAATACCAATGAGCTTTTAAACTTTGGTTTGGTGACTAGACAAGTAGTAATAAAACAAAGAAATCAATTTACACTGAAATTACACAAAAAGTCCTAATGGTATGGGCTGTTTGGGATTTCATCTTTCATGAAAATGGGGTTTAAATTTATTCAAATCATCAAAGACCATTAAAACATAAAATTTCAATTTAAAATTATTTATTTTTATTAATAATCCAAATGCCTCACCGGTATTAAGCATTTTCAAACCCTTCATATTTTAAATTGACACAGTTAAAAATTTCCACATATATTTCTGTTTTTATCCAAAAATCAATCTATATAGACTTGTTTCTTATTATGCAAACATTTGCAAAGCTATGCATACAAACAGCAATAAAGTTAAGTGAAGCATCTGTAAATTAGTACATAAAAACAAACACAACATGTTTCTCATTTTTACTTATCTTGAAATAAATCTTCCCCCTTCTCCCAACCATAATTACCATGGTAACAGAACAGCAAATTAAACTGAAATAACATGGTTTATGATGTGCACAATAAGAAGAAACAAGTCACAATTCAAATGGAATGATAACAATTGCACAGTACATATATGTATAATCTTTAGCTGAACCTTTAATTTGAGCGAGGCTACTATTTGTACCTCAGAGCACAGTGGGAAAAACAGATAATTATAAAAGTGATTCAAGAAATACATCTCCCTCTCTAATCTCAATTATACAGAGATTTCAGGCAAAGTATTTGTTCTAAATTATCTAAATAATTATCTCAGTTATACATTTTGTTATGGATGTATAGATGCAGCTTTATGGTGTTAATTACTAAAATTTATGTAGGAACATTCTTTTTATTGTAAGATCAATAAAATATAGAGATTGAAAGGAAAGACTTACATTATGAAGTAAAGCACTTTTGTTTTAAATCATCTTTATATCTGACAAGTTCTTCTAGAATATAGCTATTCAAATACTTCATAAAACCATCTTGGATAAAATGCTACATATATCAACATAAAAGCGATCTTAAAAGTTATTTCAGAAGGCTTTAATATCCTCTCATGAGCTAATTTCTTCAATCAGCTTTTCCACAGGTCCTACTCTAAGGCCCTGACAGATTCTGGTAGGACCCAATTGCTTTGCTGGGGAGCAGAACCCTATCTCCTTGACTTCTGAGTCAACTGTGTAGTTTTTGGAGTCCTCTGATGTGTACACCAATATTATTTCTCCATCACCCACACAGGGCTATGGAATAACGATCCCATCATAAACTATGCTAACTGACCTTTCTCTAGCCTCATCTTCTAATTCCCTATTCTGTGAACTGCTTATTGTTTCCTGACCTATATCCTTTCAGCTTGCAGTGTTTTGCTTCTTATTGAGCAACACCATGGCACAAAATTTTCTCAGCTTACTTTCAGCTTCTCAACTATTCATTCATTGACAAGAGATCTGATGAGTGATTATGACAAAACTGCTGACTTTGTCGCTTTTTAGTATTAAAACCTTTTAATTAGTTAGACATGAAGCTGTTTGAATGATTAATGTCTATGATAACTAAAATCTATCCAGTATATGATACAACTTTTAAAACCATAAATTCACTTTTAAGTATGTCTTTTATATACCAACTCCATTTATTTAAAAATTGATTTACCATTAAAATTATCTACATCTTAATATTTCTGGATGCCACACTCCAAATTAGCTTCTAACTATCCTGAAGCTTCCCAACTCTAACTTTTAAGACAACACTCAAAATATGCTAGCCAAATTCAATTGCATTTTGTAAGTTTTTTAAAGTACTGAGTAACTTTCTTATTGGAAAATAAATGCTTTGAAATATCCTAAAATGCTTCACATATTAAGTGAGTGAATGTTAAAAACTTATCACTTCAGAAAAGAATGAAAAGCAACAAAAATTGAGTTGAGGGAATAAAATATTACTTAAATGATGTACTACAAACCTTCCTTAGTTGAAGCAAAAATTTCCTTACAATATAGACTTTAAAATTTTGTGGAGCATTACTTCATACACCTTTACCTAAAAGGGTTTTCCTTTCTAAAATAGTTCAATGAGACCTAATTGCATAGCCATTGATAGGTAAAAATTATTTATGTATTTTCTGATTAATTTATGCCACACACACACACACACACAGCATTTACTACTTGACTTCACTGAGCTGTGGTGTGAAGGGAAAAAGATGCCATTTTGACTTGGTAAAATTAATAAAGAGGTATAAGCTTTACAGTTCTCCTTTGCTGAGTTCACAGTGTCCTTGCATTTCAACAATTCTTCCCCATAGTGGGTTTTATATGGTAATAATTTATTCAGAACATTTGAAATGCTGTTTCTTTTAAAAACCAGGTCATTGGAGAACACTGAAATCACAGGATGCATTAAAACAAATTTAATGAAACTTTCAACAAATGCAACTGGCAGGACACAAGGCTTTGCAGCAAGAATAGTCAGTCCAAACTGCTTATTAAGATAATCTCCTGCTGAGCATTTTACTTCTTATGTTCCTTTCTGTGTGCCCAACTATCTTATTTTTGTTAGGCACTTTTAACACATTCTGTACTGCCTGACAAAGAAAAAGGGGGCAATGGAAACAAGAAAAATACTTTGAAAAAATAATAAAAGGCAGAGTAACTGCCTTTTTGTTTAAATAACACCTGGTACGTTCATCTAAAGCTTTCAAAGTTACTTCTGCGAACAAGTACAAGCAACACTGCTCTGCACCCAATGATGCTCAGTACTGAGCAATGATGGACGCCATACACAGGAAGTATCTTTCTGGGCCTATCTTTCCCTTACACGGGAATTGTGATTTGACCTAAAGAGAACTACACTTTGCAAAGCACTTTGTAAAACATTTATTCTATATTAGAAAAAATTTTCTTACACCCAAATCAAGATAGACCCCTCTGGATAGATTTTCTGTTATGCTGGCCAATTAATGTGAGCATATTCACCAGAGAACTACTATATGGCTGTGGTCCAAAGGTCTCTTTCATCCTCCCAATTAGCTTCATTCTGGGCCATCACCACTGCAAGGAGCTGACTGCAGCACACCTCAGCATTCCACTGCAGTGCCTCAACCTCTCTTCTTTCCCGTCCTTAACCACTTGAAGGTTATTAATTTAGTGCTTTTGAATGGTTGCTGTTTCATGTAGCTGAGTAGAATCTACCCTTCTAAAGCACAAAGGACGAGGTTGAGAAGAGACAGCTGCTCTACACCTACAAGAATGTTGAAGAGACATGTTTTTTAATATGTTCCACAGACTTTGGATTTGTCTCTTGTGGACTGGGTATGCTTAATTTCTAAAATGAGCCTGGTATCACCTCTGCATGCACAGGACTATCTTTGAAGAAACGGCAGATCCACCTATTAGTCTATTCAGCAAAACATACATTTTGGGCACTGTGAGTTGTTAGAGAAGTACTATTCTTATGAATACTTACCATTTTGTTAGTAATAACAGCTAATATTTATGGACTATATGTTGTACATGGGTTATTTCTTGTAATGCTTACAAAAACTCTATAAATTATTATCCCTATTTGTTAAATGGGAATTTAAGGGTAACAAAAGTTAAGCAAATTTCCCATGGCTGTGGATATTCTGGTATATGAAAACAATATGTGAAGTTTTTCAGGCTAAGTATCATGAGCTTCTGATAAAAAAGCTGTATTGAAGTTGAGTCTGGATTTATAAATTCAGCTTTTCTGAAGGCCATGGAAGGTTAGTTACTGTGATATCAAGTAAGTTTTAGGAATGCTGTATACCATAGCTTTTCTTGGAAACTCACAGTGTAAATTAGCATAGTAAGGGCTCTAAGAAATTCTATAAAAAAAGAAACATCTTGCTGAGAATTTTCCAACTTTGTGAAAACAGTAAAAGGCCTTCATAGATGGTTTGGGTTTCATAAATATTTTATTACAGTTAAATCTATTGGCCTATTTTTTTGGTTCATATACTTTCTTAGATTATTAAATTAAAACATTTTAAAGAGTATAGACATAAAATGGACAGCAGATAGTGGCTTTCCTTATACTCTTCACTCTGAGAAAACCTCTCATATACATGCATAGATTCCCTCTATGAAATGACCACTCATTTGTCACCATGGCTAGAATGTAAATATACAGTTATATACACTACTGAAGGTAAGTCAGAAGTGACATCTTCCTGTATTTTTTGTTTTGTATGAAAAAAAACCTAATAAATAAATTCTAGTTTTCTCTGTTCCCAAGATATAAAAAGTAAGATTATTTACTTGTATATCTATATTACAGCTTGAAGAATGGTCTGAAGTGGCTAACAAACTAAAATCTCCTGTAACACCCCACCCACCTCAAAGTTATATCTTGAAAACTACTGATAACACAAATTTCTTATAAAATAAGCACCTATCACTACTAAATAAATTTTAGACAACTGAAGAGAAAGCATATAAAGTTATAATTTGAATTACTTAAAATAGATTTCAATTAAATGTTTTAAAACTTATATAATGGAGCTAACAAACCTATCTTCATTTTTTTCCATTTTTATTTGGCTTTGATAGGTATAACTTCCTGTTTCTTCATAGGTATTCTGATAAGGCCATGCTGATTTTCCATTGACATGAAGTTTTGCAAGATCACTTTGGAGTTTTTTGTTCTCATATTCCAGTTTGCTAATAGATGTGTGCCTTGAATGTGCCTTGTTGGTGAAGTCCATACTCTAGAGAATAAAATAAATTATCATTGAATACACTGACTTGTATAAGGGTGCATATTTTCTGTGTGTTTGGACACATGTGATGGGAAGGCCCTTCCTCCTGAGCTAAGTGATGTGGTTCTACTTTTGCTTACCTCTTGAATGTTCCTTCCCTTCCCTCTGCTTTCTCACAACATATATAAAAACAATGCATATAATAGTGCCCATTTCAATACAGAAAATGTTTACTGTTTTCTACCACAAACTGGCCAGATTAAAAAGGGTTTTTTTGTGTTTATAAGGTATACCTGTTAGTGTTGATTAATAATGCAAACATACATTTCAATTTTAAAAGATTTTTTCTAATTAAAATAATTCATATGATTATAGAAAATAGGGAATATTAAGAACAAAACAAATGTTCCATACTACCACTACTCTGTGATAACTGCTATTAATATTCTTATCTGTCTAGTCTTTTTCTATCAATAGGAAATCCAATAAATAATATAATTATATACTTATAAAATTGTAATCAATATATAAATATTCATAAGAAATATAATATAGTCAATATCAAATATAAACATACATATAAAATTATAATATAAAAATGCAATAAAGTTTTGGGAATAGTTTTTTTCTTTCTGAACACTATATACCTAAAAAAATAAGTTTTTAATGACTGCACTGAAGAGGTTTAAATTAATTCATTTAGTCATTCCTCTGTTATTGGAAATTTAATTTATTTCCAAAAGTATAAATAACATTGTATTGATTTCCTTATACAAAAATCTTGTTCTGTTTTCTTTAGGCAAATTCCAAGGACTGGGACAACAGGAATAAATTATAGGAATGTTTTTTGAAGACCCAAATAAAAAGTGCCAATATTTTCTCCTTATAAATCTCATAATTTCTAGTCTCATAAATTCCCACCAATAATGTATTAAAAATCCTATTTTATCACTTACAATAATTTAATATTATTATTTTGTTAAATTCTAAATTGACAGATGCAATAGTAACGTTTTAGTTGAGTATATTTTCATATTTTCTGACAATTTTATTCCATCATTTATCAATTGTCTACTTGTATTCTTTGCTCATTTTTTCATTAGGGTATTGTTGTTTTACTAATTTACTAATTTGAAACAATTTTTTTAACATTAGGGATAGTAATTCATTGTTTTTTAGTTGCATGAAAGTATGTTTTCTTGTGATTTTTAAGTTTTAACTTCTTTTTCTTTTTGGTTCCAGGGATCGAACTCAGGACCTTGCACTTGTGAGACAGGCAGCGGCACCACTGAGTTAAATCTTTGGCCCAAAGTTTTAATTTTAGTATATCTAGAATTGTTTTTGTTTTTTAACTTAAATCTATCAATTTAGATTTTTATTTCTTTGCTTTTCTGTACTTCCATTTGTTTTATAATTTTATTATATTACATTTAATTATTTGGAATTAATTTTGGTCTAAAATGAGAGATGAGACTAAGAATAATAAATTATTTTAATTATTTAAATCACATATTGATTAAAACATCAATTCTCCACTGCTGGATGATGTAACAAATGATATACTAAATCCATGTAGACTGATGTCTGATTCTGGACTACACCAACCTACTGATCTTACTGTTGACACCATGTCAGTATTACAGAGTTTGAAGCCATGTGGCTTCATAATAAAATTTTACTATCTGGTAGAGAGCAGTCAATTTTATTGCATTATCAGAACAGAAAATAAAATATGTTTAAATTACAAAATGAGAGATTTGGAGTAATAAGACATTTCTGTGGCTGTTTCAACTAAATTCTTTTAAGAAACTTCCTAGGCAGTGTCTATAATTTTCAAAAGTTTAAAAAAATAGGCTATAATCTCACAATGAAAATACTTTACATGGCTGTTTATAGTCCTCAGAGTCCAGTGATTTAAATGTTTATTAGCTGCTGACTAAACAATAGTTGTCTGATTTCAGAAGGGTAATATTTTAGCATAAAAAGCACACCTTGAGTGCAATATCTTTTTTGTTTTTTAAATTAAAAATTATTAGTATACGTTTTTATGCATAATGATTACATTCATCATGGAGAACTGGTACATGCAAATAACGCATCTTAATTCTTTTTTTAACCTCCTGTTCCCCTTCCCTAAAACAACTTTTTGTGACCCTCCAAATATCTATGGTTCAAAATTCTTTAGACTGTAAGTGATTACAGCTTAGAACCTACTTGTTGAAGTTTCTAAATGAAAGGTTTTGAGCATCATTCATATGATCTGCCATCTCACACATAAAATCATTCTAAATTTTCTAAAATTTTTGAAAGTTATTTATATGCTATCATATTAATATCAGTACTGATAAAAACACATAGAAACATATCCTAAAAATACTCCAGGAGGGCAAATTTTCCACAAAATAATATGGGATGGGTTTTATAAATTTATTAATCAAGTCGCTCTTTAGAAAAGGAGGCCATTCAAAGTATTTCCTTGTTTGTTACGCATTTGTCTTTAGGAATTCTCAATATTTACTCTTTTGAGACATACATGAAGAAAAAAGAGCAATCTGCATTCTTTTGCTTTAAAAGAGAAAGGATTGCTTATTCTAAAATTAGAGTAGATTTGCAATAAATATAAAGAAGGCACAGTCTTATAAAATTTTGCCCTCCAGAAAGAAAAAATTCACGTGGGCAGATCTGGTTGAAAAAGGTCAACCAGAATCTTGTCTTTGAATAATATTCAAAAATTTAGTCCAAATAAGACATCTATCAGTCAAAACATATAATTCTTTTTTTTTTTTTTTTTGTGGTACTAGGGATTGAACTTGGGACCTTGCGCTTGCAAGGCAGGCGGCAACACCACTGAGCTAAATCCCTGGCCCTAAACATAATAATTCTTAATGGACTGCTGTTCAGTTAAAACTGTATCCATTATTTTTTTAAAATTAGATTTATTTATGACTATTTTTGGCCTACTATTGGTTTAAAGTAATTAAGAATGATAGTGATGATTTTTAAAATCCAAACCCTACAATTTTCTAAATGTAGCATAATTAAATAAGTATTATAAGCATGACCTGAAAGAATTAGACAAGTGATGTATCTACATGTTTTATATTTGAGAGCATATTCCTTTTTTCTTGATAACAAGCTTTTTAAGGACTCTTATTTCATGTTTTTTCCTTAAATACTTTTCTAGTGATTTATGAAATATATCCTTCATTATATGATTATCATATGAAAATATACAATAATTAAGCCTACCACTGTATTTCTTTCTTTTTCTTTTTTTGCAGTTCAGGAGACTGAACCCAGGGCCTCATGTCATGCATGCTAAGCAAATGCTTTAATACTGAACTACATTCTCAGCCTACATCTGTATTTCTGATGGGTTCTTTTATGTAGGTCTGTTATTCAATTCTTGTTTCTTTCAAAAATTTTCAAGTCCTGTAGTTTTATTCATCTTTGCTCTTGAAATGGCAAAACTTCCTGGTGCTTATTTACTTGAAAAGACTAGGATGAGGCCAGTTAAATTATTGAAATATCTGAATAACTGCATTTTGCATGTACACTTTTTCTTTTTAGTTATATATATTTAATAATTAGCCCAGAAAAATATTTCTACAGAAAGATAGGCTTTAGCTATGTTTTATGGTTATTATTTTAGTTTTCAGGGTGTAAATGAATGTTTTAATCATTGTGACAATATTATTATTTTATTTAGCTAACTTTATGAACAGTAAAAAGCAAATAAGTCTTCTTGAAAATAATCACAAATTTGAGTTCTGATAAAATCAAATTTTATTACAACTTTAAAAAAATGAAAAGATTAATAAATACAACTATAGGTCTAAGTAAATATGGAATAAAAAACCTGTCAGATAAACTTAATTCTTTGTTAGCTTCCCTAGGAGACATGTTAAAAAAAAACCCTCCTTTTTTTCTATGCTGTCAAGTTTCAACACAATCTATGGAAAACACCTGGCTCTGTTACTACTCTAACTACCTTACCGAGAGCCAAGAAAACAGGAGCTTTGAAGCTCACTGTGTACACTGGTGGTAATTAGGTGCAGCACCACTGTTCCTACCTCTTTGGTAAATATTCTTCCCCTAAATAGAAATGAACAAGGAGTTCTATAGTTAGTCATACATAAAAATTCTCAAAGCTATATTTAATTAGATATTATCAATTTAAATCAGTAATTTCCATGTTTAGAAAGGAAATAGTAATTATTATTTTAATATTCTCCAAATAGCATATATGTTAAAAGGCTTAAAATGATGAAAATATTTTGTTTCTCATTTTCAGAGGTAAAATTTCAGCACCAGTTATTTAATTCTATGTTTATTTATCCATTCCAATTATTTGAGAAATAATTGTCTAATAATGGGATTTTCTTCTACTAATGGGATCTTAGAAAACTTTGTTGTTTTCTTGGAGACAGGGTCTCACTATGTAGTTCAGGCTTGCCTTTAACTCACTCTGTAGCCCAGGCTGACCTCAAACTCTTGTTGATTCTCCAGCCTCAGCCTCCTAAGTGCTGGGATTACAGGCATGTGCCATTGTTTCAGGTTATTCATGGGATTTTAACGCAACAGATAGAAGAGAGTTTTCTTCATTTTAAGAAATTAGAAAAACTGCAACAAAATAAATCAGGAAAAGAAAAATTGATAAAAGCTAAAAAATAAATGGATGAAGATTAATAAATCCAAAAGCTAATATTTTAAATACTATTAAAATAACTTTTTGTGAGCCAGAACTAAAACAAAAAAGAAAATCTATATGTGTTCAACTATATAAGATTAGAAACAAGAGAAGAAACACAAAAACAGAATATAGAAGAGATGAAATAATTGTAGGCTATTACTAACTTTGGTAACAAGGAAACAAAAGGTTGGTAAAGATGTCCTAGAAATATACAAATTAGCAGAATGATCTAAGAAGAAGTAATGAAATTTGAATGTATCAAGTATCCTAAAAGAAAAGATTAGTGAAGATCTGTCTGGTCAGATGGTTTTACAGCTGAGTTCTTTTTTTAAAGCACTAATAATTCTAATAGTAAACTATTCTAGACCATGCATAAAGATAGAATGCTCCCAAGTTACAAGTAAAGCTACAGAATAACTTTAAAACAAGTAGAAAAAGAAAGAACTATATTACAAGTCTCATTTATACATACAGACCTTAATTTCTAAGTAAAACATTACCATATAAAATCCAGTAATATATAAAAATTGCTAGTTTGACTATTATGGGTTGAATTGTGTCCCCCTAAAAAAGATATGGTGAAGTCCAAACCCCTATCCCAAAGAACGTGACCTGAATGTAGAAACAGGGTTTAACAGAGGTAATGAAGCTAATATGAAGACTTTAGAGGGGCCCTAATCCAATACGACTGGTTGCCTGTAAAAAGGGGAAATTTAAATACAGAAGTAGACATGTATGCAGAAAAGACACCATGAAGAAACACAGGAAGAAGATGCCGTTGTGAAGATTCAGGAAAAGAGCCAAGATGATAGAGAAGCACCATGTAAAGCCAGGATTGCAGTGATGCATCTACAGCCCAGGAAGCCAGCAGCCCAGACTGCCCGCAAAAGGCAAGAAAGAATTTTCCCTTGTAGATTTCAGAGGGTCACAACACTGATGATGTTTTAATTTTGGACTTCAGGCCTCCAGAACTGTGAAACAATAGATTTCTATTATTTTAAGCCACCCAAGTTGTAGTACTTTGTTAGGGCAGCTTTATTAAACTAACACAGTGACTAAAGATTTATTCCTGGAATTCAAATTTCAATCCATAGCAGGAAATGTATTAACCATATCCTATTAACATAGTCTACAGGACAAAACCCACAAATCATCTATGCTGAAAAGCCATTTGATAAAAATTAATACCAATTCTTGATAAACTCTAAGAATAGGAATAGAGTGATATAATAAAGCCCATAAATCAAGAACAAATGCTATACTAAGCAAAACTCTGAAACCATGGCATTTAAAATCAGAAACTAGCAAGTTTGCCTGCAAACACTATTATTCTTTAATATTCTCTTGGAGATTTTGGAAAATGAAATATGACAAAAATAACTGCTATGAAAAGTAGAGGAGATAAAGCTATTTTGTTGTTATAGTTAGCTATCTCAAGAAACCTAGATACCTCTAATAAAAGTCCTATTAGAATTAATACAATAATCTGGATCTTTCTATATTAGCAATAAATTCCTAGACATTAAAAAGGAAAATATTCCATTCATAACAGTCACCTGAATTGTAAAATACCTGAGGATAAAGTTAAGAAGAAAGGCACAGAACTTAAAGAAAAGTGTAAGATCTTACTGAAAAACATAAGATATGAATAAATAGAAAGCCCTGTCACATTCTTAGTGGAAAATTTATTTTAAAGAACCCAAATCTTTCAAAGTTAATATGTAAACTTAATTCAATCTCAAATAGAATCCAACAGGAAGTTCTGAGGAGAAACTGGATAAATTGAGGTTAATGTTCACATGAAAATTTAAATTTGGCTCCTATTTTATATCTCATTCAAATTACAAAATTGAATTTTTATATCAAATTAAGGTATGGATGGATTTAGCACTTGGATGGAGAATATAAAATCCTCTCAAGAAAATCTAAGAGGATATAATAAAATATATATATATACAGAGAGACAGAGAGAGAGGAAAAATCTTGTTAGTCAAGGAAGAAAACTCCAAAGCTATAAACTAAGAGATATACAGTACCTGTTTGACAAATAAAAGTGTAAAATTGTAGATGGCAAAAACGTATCATAAACAAAGTTATAAACAATGGATTTAGAAAAGTGCTGTTATTAATTGACCAAAAAAACCTCACAACACAACAGAAAACTGAGGAAAGCATATATCTAATTCACATTGCCAATGAATGTACAAACATGCTTATCTGTAGTCAGAGAAATGAAAATGAAAGAACTATTGAGAAATTATAACCATCATACTGACAAAAATTAAAAAGAGCAATAACACCTATTTCTGGGAAGGATGAAAGAGAAAAAGGTAGAAATATCACTTTATAATAGCTATTAAAAATTAAAACATATTTGCTTTGAACATCAATTCCACTTCTAAGAAGCTATTCAGACATTTGAATACAGATTTTCTTGTAGTTTTGTTCATTCAGGCAAAAATCTGAAAACAGTTGAATATATTAGGGCTGAAATAATTATGAAAAATAGTTTAATAAATTTTGATACATACACACCATGGAATATTGTCAAGCTTTTATAAAGAATGAAATAGACTTGAACTAGTTGATTTGGAAAGATTCCAAGGGATTTTTCTGAGTGAGCAAAAGGAATACACACACAAGTACGTGATCTTATTTTTTAAAAAATGGTAAAATCTTGAGATAGTTATATGATCATATAGATACATATAAAAATGTTAAATGATACAAACTGAGTAATTGACATATATTATCTAGTAGATAGGGTATGATGTGGGAAAAGGAATTGAGAAAAAAAGACCACACTTAAACTATCAGTATTTAAATTATGGATCAATTTATAAAAATATATATCTTACACAACTATAATTTTTTCTAGGAAATTAGGAAAAATAAAAATGTATTTACTGACTTGTACACATGTCCATGTATATAGTCAGAAGGCAGTTTTGGATAATATATATTATCCATTTGTTTCTGTAGAACATCCAACTCACTTCCTCTATATGCATGCACAACTAAAGAAAGAGTGATAGAATGCTACATATTACTGTGTTATCACTGGTTCTCTCTGAAGTCCTGAGATCCAGGGTAGAGGTGAGGATAACAACCTTTTTTTAAATACATTTTTGTGTTTTATTTCTTAAAAGTCCAAGACAAATAAATGAACAAAGCTAAAAGCCCACATGAACCACAGTGAAAAAGCCTCTGTGTGTGTGTGTGTTGACCTAGAATATACAACTAACAACATTCAACTGAATAAAAAATACAATACAAATACTATTTTGTGATTTAAAAAGGACACTCATGGATTCAGGATCTGATTTAACTTTTTGTACATTCAATGTTTAGATGACAAACTTTTTTTTTAATTTAACAGGGAAATCATGGGTGCTTTGCTTTTTATCCATCTATACTCCAACCACTGCACAGACAAAGATGCTTCAAAAAGGCAGAATGCTTCCAGGTGCTCCTGTTCTTTTAATGCTAGAATAGGGATTATTAAGAGAACAGATACATAATATCACAGAAATACAGCATCAAGGATTAAGAAGGGAGTATGGAGAATCTCAAATCCAACACCTTCACTTCTAGCTAAATAAACTAAGGCCAGGTTAGCTCTTATTTCATCCTCTCTATGCCTTGAATGATAGAAAAATTATTTTAGAATTTTCTCTCAGAGAAAATAATGATATCATTAATATTTCATTAATTCAATAAACAAAAATTCTCACATAAAAATCAAACATCAACTGTAACATTAAGCAAGGGAAATGAGAAGCACAGAGCTTGTTAAGGTGCCTTGTGTAAACCTGAAGAGCCATTGATTAATTCATTTATTTATTCATCTCTCTTGTTATTCAACCAACACAAACTGAACATTTAATCTATAACTGATTTTTTGAGGAGTTGGTTATACAAACATTAGTAAGACATAATTCCTGCTTGCCATCTAGTGGGAAAGGGACAAGATATAAAACAAGTCAGACAAATATAAACCAAGTTCAGATAGAACAATTCGTTCTGACTGAGATTTGGGGGGTGGTTTTATTGAAGGAAAAGTTGACACTTAAATCAGATTATGTAGGATTTTAAGGCAACAGCAAGAGCAAAAGCATATAAATAGCATGTTTGGTATGTTTGGGAAAGGGTAAGAATTGAGTCCAATACAAGAAAAAAACAGGAGAGAACACTAGAAATTCAAGGGTTCCAGAAGTAAATTTAACTAAGGTGCAAGACAACTTCTGCATGCCTGATACATGGCAAATGCTTAGTAGTGACGTCTTGGTAAATCCTGATGAGCTAAATAATCTCTTGTCCAATTTACTGAATGAACTCGGCATATTACCATGTACCATCCAGGGTCTAAATCTCCCATCATTCCTTTTAGATGTGTGTTTTCCATTCTGACAGCTTTATATTGCATATCTGAGAACTGAAAGATTAGTAAAAAAAGGTAAGTGTAAAATTCACAATGAAGACACATAATTTTATTCAAATTAATTTTACTTTGAGAATACAAAATTTTCTAGTTGTAATAAAGGGAAAGGCTCCTTTGGTTTATTGACTGAGTATTCTTATTCATCTTGCCTATCTTTGCCCGGACACACTGTACCCTCCCCTCTTATGATCAATATTAAATTTAAAAGATATAATAATGATTCATTTACTTTTTTACTTCCAATTCCAAAATCCCATTTCTTTTATTTTTAATCATATAAAATAATTACCAGAAAAATCACAATTTTTAAGCCATGCTTGAAATAACACTGTCCACTAAATTGCAGCACCTGATTAATTTTTACAATAGGCAACACATGACTTTCATGTTTAATTTGGTCCCATCTGGTTTTTCTGCCAAGTTACCTTTGTTTGTGACTTATCTGTCTCCTACATTCTTTGTTTGTTTTCCTGATTGACAGTACTTGGACATAGTATCTGTCCTTTTATTTACCTAAGGCTCATTTCTATAGAAAAAAACTTGCCTTAAAAAGATTTACTTTTATTAATTATAAAATATAAGCTCATTGACAAAATCTAGAAAATATATAAGAATATAAAAGTGAAAGTAAGAATCATTCATAACCCAACTACTCAGATCACTGTTCCCATCTGTAAAATGTCCTTCCCCAACGAGGTATAATGGATGCTATTGCTATGCCTGTATGGTTTTCCTGTGTATTGTACAAGTAAGACATAGCTTAAGGCTCCAGAATGGGCAAAGGCTGAATCTTTTTTGTTCCTGTAATACACAGGATTTGATAGTCATGCTATTTGGGAAGTAATCCTCATATACCTAGAAAGTTACTGAAACTTTCCTTATGTTTTGTGCTTTGAAAACATCTAGCTTTGAGGCAAAGAGGGCTGATAAATCTGTTAATAGCAGATTTGATTAGGAGTAAGAGATCAGGGAATTTAAAAACTAAATTGGAGGGAAGAAAGGAAGGGTGGGCAGGGTGGTGGAGATAGAAATTACTTTCGGTATTTTAATGGTAGAACTACAATTGTTATTTTTCCCCATGCCCCATGTGGTGCGTTGTGTGAATATTCAGTAAATATGAACTGATTTCATGTTACAGCATCCATATTTCAAAAATACATGAAATGGAGGGTGGGAAACATCCAAGAAAATCTGGGTAAAGTTTTTAAAAAACAATGTTAGTGAAAAGGACCTAAGGAAGAAATCTATGATTAGAGCATGTGTGGGAGGTGCTCAGAATATGGGTTAAAAGAAAATGTTAGGATGAGATATAATCACATTACCTTGCATTGCCAGTTATTTTCCTAGCTCTTTTTTCACAGCACTTTGTGATATGTCGCAAAGGTTTTATGTGACTCCACAAAACATTGCTGTGACACTACAGGCATTTCTGTGATGCTAAGTTCCAGAACAAAACCTAGCAATGCAATGATTTTATCAGTCAGTAATGAAGGCTACTGTGAGCACCTAGCAAGAGTATGCCCTGGAAAGTTGCTTTATTCCTGCCTGCCTACCTGTTGTTTTGCTAAGATTTTTTCTTTTCTTTCTAATTCTATCTTTAACTGTCTTTCCAGAAGGGCAGCTTTCTTCATCACAGTTGCTATAGTGATCTCTTTCTGATGAAGCTCCTCTGTTAAGTTAGAGATTTCATTTCTCATTCTTTCTTGCTCAGAGTTGTGGTACTCTTCCTCCTGATAGAGCTGGTTTCTGATCTGTAGCAGATAAAGACCAGAAAACATGAACAAATCCTTTTATTTATAAAGCAGCTTAAAGCTTCTATTGGTCATATTCTGTCCTCCTGTCCTAAAATCTTGGCAGGCCCTCCTCTACCCTCTTTTTATGATCAATGCTAAACTAAAAACAGATACTTATATGATTCATTTATATTTTCCCTTCCAATTGTAAAAGTTCATTTCTATTTTCCTTAAATTCTTTTATTTTTTTATTTTTCCCCCATTAACTATATTGGTACATTTTAGGTATAAAATACAGTTACATTCATCATTGGGATCTTGTACCATTACATGAGTATCTT